TCAATTAATTTATAACTATATAAGGTAAATGTACCTTAATTATTGAGTGGCTAGACTCACGTCTTTCTTTCAATATTTTATAAGCTTTAACTTCAATGTGAAAAGAGAAAAAGCTATAGAGGTTTAGGAATCTAGGATTCTTACTATATAGCCTCTTAATCATATTTATATTGTGTGATAATTGATATATTACCAATTAGGTTTAAATTTTGCATATATTTGCACTTTTGATATTTATGATTTTGGAATGTATTTTAAGCTCTAGGTTATTGTTGGTATGTTGCTCAAGTGTATTATAGGGCCAAAATACTAGTGCTAATGTAAGAATGTTTAATTGATTACAACTTTGAATGTTGTTGTTGAAATGTAATGATAAAACCTCCCTTTTTATTTTTGGTTTTAAGGGGTTGAAGAGTTTCTTATGTGATAGGAATTATGTGCGTGTGGTATATTGTACAGGAGTCATAAGTCTTATGAATGTGTTTTGGGTGTTAGGAATATCTTTTAGCACAAGTATAGGGCTTTGTACATCCCTTTGATTATGAACATTGTGCAAAGTTAAGAAAATTTATTTGGGTGTCCAATTTTCTTGTGTGACTTAATTTGAAAGTAAAACTTATGACATTAGCTAGTTTATGAAAAGATCTTTTTATAAACACCTAGATCATCTCATTTAAATATTGGACTTTAGGAATAGCGCACTTAGAAGTTGTCCAAGATTGCTATTAAATGATAGCAAAAATATTGTCTGATATTGTGCAACACGCAGCAGTGTATGGCACAAAGAGTAAGGAGCCACGGTGCATTGTACACAAGCCACGACCAATACTCCATTTTTCAAATTGTGAGGCTTTTCAAATGTTTTTTACTCTTTTCACTCCTCTAAGGTATCACATGCTTTTGAATCAATATTTGACTCTAATTAAAAGTTAAATGAATGATTTTGATTTGTTTCTAAGCTGTAAAAATTTGGGATCTCATTTCTACAAATTTTAAACTTAGTAATCCCTTGAAAGTTAATCTCCTTAATTACCTTGAATTTTGTTAGCTAATTGTGATTAGATAAGGGAAATATTACTATAGTCCCTTTGCAAGATTTTGTTATGGCCTTGTATTAAAAAAAATGTTCAACCCAATCATTTAGTAAAAATTTCCCAACTCCTTAGCAAACACTAAAATTTTCAATCCGACTTAAAGGGTTGAATTCTTGTTATTTAAAGATAGAGCAAGAGAATTTTGATAGGGCCAAATTCAAAAGCAAGGATGGTGAATTGAAATCTTGTTCTTTTTAGGTTTATGAGATGAGTCAAAGCTAAAAATACAGAAAACCCCTTTCATCTTTGATCTACTCTTGAAATTACAATTCTTTTCATTTAGTTATAGCATTATTTTTTCCTTACTATTCTGATGGTGTTTTTGATACTATAGTACTTTCATGTAATAAGTAGTTCATTCTTTGTAATGTGCTTATCATCTTCATAATTTTTCTAGCCAATTCTTTGTCATTTATTTTGTGTTATTATTATAGCCAAATGGACACTCAAGATTCAACAACCCTGACCCATATATATATGATCAAGGCTCAACCTACTTTAGTGACCAGCAAGATCTGAAGGCGATCACTAGGTTCCAAGCTTTCTTTTCCAACTTAAGTTTTGACGTGGATGACTCAACCCTTATTGGCAAAACCTAAAGCCAGCTTTGCCTTCTTCAATTTTCTCCTCATTTTGTCTCGGCCATGACACGCTCGACCCCATCAATAACACCAACCCTAAGGATTATGTAAAGGCGATGGTGGAATCCGCCATGAACACCGTCACTAGTCCTTTAATCTTAGTGACAAGGTTGCCATATGGCATAGGAATGGAACCACTTGAGGCATAAAGATGGCCATCAAGGATTGCAAGGACTTAGTATAATCTATGATAGTGGAACTACAAGCATCATGTTTATCAACAATCAACAACAATGATGGAAAAGAAGAAGTGATTGAATGGTAGTAACAAGTGGATGAAGAGAAGAAGAGGAAGAGGAGGAAGAATGGTCTACTAGTAGGTCTAGAATTTTGGATAGATAAGATAAAGAAGAGAGTGGGAGAAATGGAGAAGCTTCGTAGAACTTGCCACATGTTAATTTTTGGTCAGCAAAACCATTTAACAGTCAATGTTATTCAAAATTAACAAGACGTTGACATTGCTTTCTTTTTAAAAATTTTAGGGCAGCATTATTCCAAAAAAATTTAGAATACCAAGTATCCCTCAAAAAAAAGTTTCAGAGCATTTTCACCTTATTGGAATTGATTTCTTGTCAAAGATTTCTTTGTTTTTTCTATGTAAGTTTTTCTATATTTTGCTTTACTTAATATTGAGAATACTTTATTTTAGTGGTTGAAAATTTTAATAATGTTCTTAATATTTTGTTTTATTGTTGAATGATTAAATTTTTAGTTTTTTTTTCTATTGATCAAATTTTTTTAAAAAAATGATTAGGATAATATGGTGCAAGGGTCAATTTTGGTTGATAATTTACATGTAAAACAATAAAAATATTTTTTTGTAAGTTTGAAAAAATAAAAATAAAATTTGATTGTGGTTATTTGAAATTCTTTGCACAAATCCAAATAAAGAATTTTAATATTAAAATTTAAAATTATTTGAACTAATCAAACAAAAAATTTTAAGTGCATGAATTTGAAATGTGAGATTTGAAATTCAAATTTTAAATACAAATCCACCCATCCAAATATTACCTTACAGAATTGAAATATTGCTTCTGTATACAATTTTAACAAATGAATAACAAAAAATATAACTTCTACACCATGAATTTTTTCTCAATTAATGATTTATTTTTTAAACTTTAATTCAAAACAATCCAATTATTATATTTCTTATTCAAAACAACTCAATTATTATAATTTTTGAATTAGTACAATTCAATTTCTAAAATTCATTAACTCAATGAACTATAAAAACTATGTCATATTTGGTTAAAATTTAATTATTATGAAGAAATTTTAAGAACTAAAATTTAGCCCAATAAATAACCTCATATTTTCTTCTAACCAAAATAAATAAACTCATACTCATATTAATAAATTAACCAAAATTAACATTACCTAGTAGGGGTGAATGTTAGTCGGTTTGATTAGGCTTGGTTTCAAAATATATAAAACTAATTGGCCAAACAATTAGTGAATGAAAACTCAGACCAAACCAACGAATAACTCGATGAACCAATCAGTTAATAATCTAATTTTTAACCAAACTAAGAGCATGGCTAGCCCAGGCCAACTCGAGGTGACTTGGTCAACCCCTTTGTAACCCAACAGGTTGGTCGGGTTATATTTTTTTGTCTTCTAAAGCTCCAAACGACATCGTTGGCTTTAAAACAATTTTAAAAAAAAGAAGAAAAAACTCAAGCCTAAAACCTCCCGTCTCTACTTTTCGCCATCAAAGTTTTCTTCTTCTTAGAGTGTTTTTGTTTGAAAACTTGTCATCACCATTGATTCACTGTCTCTCATTGTCGGAGTTGCTTCTCTGAAACCTCACCATCTCTATCTGTGTTGTGAGCTGGAGCTCGTCTCTACCATTGTTGCTAATCTCTGCTTCACATTGCTCATCTTTATCTACACTTCTGGACTTTGGATTTGACCTATCCCTTCCTCTTGCTTTGCCTATTCTACTTTTGCTTTTCGCCTAACTCGGTCAAAAATCAGTACTTACTATCATCATCACGTAGGTATAGTTTCTTTTATTATTATTTGTTATTTGAATTAAATTACTTAATTGTTTATTGAGATTTTAACCTAATTCATTGAATTTTTTTTTACCCCTAACCTAGTTCATTGAATTTTAGTTGTGATTGTTCTTATATGTAAGATTTTTCTCTCTTTATTAAATTATTGTTGGGTATTTGAGTAAAACTAATAATTTTTATTTAAATTTTCATTGTTTACATTTAAATATGATTACTTTTATGTATATAAATTATATTATAATATTTTAATTAAGACTGGTTTGACTTCAGATTAACTCTCAATTTAACTACTAACCCTTGGCCCACTACCTTGATTGATTTAAGGACCGGTCTGATTTTCAATACTTTATAAACAACACTTAAAATTTGAATTGAATCAAACTAAACTTATAAACAATTTGATTCGGTTAATTAATTTAATTTTGGGCTTTGTATTGGGTTTCCTAAACCTATGTTACTATTTTTTATCCATTGTCTTTTTTTTAATAAAAAAATTAATGAAGGCACCTATATGCATGAAAATGAGATTTGGTTAGCATGAACGTTGGCCCCTCTTCTCGACCTGATACAGGCAAATATTATACCTATGCATATTGTGTGTGTAATGAGATTATAAAGAAATTGTATAGGAAAAAAATATGAAAATTCTTGGCAGACATAAGTTAGAAAAGACTAATGAATTATGCAACTTTTTAGGATTCTAGACATGTAAATTGTTTATGTATATACTTTTTTAAAAGTATAAAAAATAAAATAAATTAGAGTAATAAACTATATATAATTTATAGGCTAATAATATATATTTGTATGAAAATTTGGTCAATTCAGGTTATTTAATTTTAAAATTTACAGACCAAATCAAATTGATAAATTAAAATTTTTTAAAATAAAAAATTAAATTGAATTGAATAACTAAATAGATTGAATCAAGGAGATAAAACTTGATACAATTCAATTCTGGGTTTCAGTTCAATTTTAGTTGTCTTATTACCTAGAGGAAAAAGGTAGAGCAAGAACTTGATTAATAGTTACCAAAGCATCTTTAAGTAAAATTAATTATTATGTGATTTTTAATAATCGAACATGATACAATTAATCGATTAATTTACTTGAAACAAGCAAGAAGTTGAATTGTCCATGAAATTGATAATGAATAATGAAGATTGAATGAAATCAATGGTAGAAAATGATAGAATATAAGCAGAAACGGAAAGCCAGAAATTACACGGATTATAAGGCACTTGTTTAAGCTATTTCATTTATAATAATTAAGTATACAAAAAGAAGTGTCATCACTAATTAATAGTATTACAAACAGAAGCCCTTTTTTTATTGACAAACAAAACAGCCCCACTGTCGGAACAGAAGAAGCGTTTATGTAAAAATTAAATGAATGAAATTAAAAAGGAAAGAAGAAGTAGAAGATGATGAAGATGAAAGAGGCGGAACTGAGAAAACTGAGATACTAATCAGAAGTGGCAACCACAGCAGAGGAAGAAGAAGCAGAGGGTAGATACGAGCACCACGGCTTCAACGACAGAGAGTATCTTGAAAACGACGGTGTCCATGATGGTCGTTTGGAGATCCAATCTCTTGAAGCGAAACGACGACAACCTCCACGGCCTCCTCATCACCTTCTTTAGCCATATCGCCTTCGTCGCCTTCCCCGACCCCATCAAATCTCTCTCTCTCTCTCTCTCTCTCTCTCTCTCTGTGGGTTTGTGTCGTTTTGGAGAATATGCAGAGAACGAAATGGAAGGTGAGGTGCGTTTTATATGGATGAGTGGGAAGGGAATGGGATGCTTTGGATGCTTCAGGGGGAAGAGAAATTGCTGGCTTTGGCTGGCCGAAGATCACAGGGTTCGATATGGCCTTTTTAAGGAGGGTACTTTTGTCACTTAGTGAGGAGCAAAGGGTAGTTTCGTCTTCACAATTACACAAGAAGGATTAAGGGCAAAGTAAAAAGGTCATCCGTATGTTATTTTTTTTATTAATTTTGTATTTTTGTTAGGTGAGCTGGCATGGACAGTGGCCAAGAGGATAAATTCTTGTACAGATACACCTAATCATATATATTTTGTCTAATAAAATTATATTAATTTAATTAAATAAAATTTTACATGCCTTTTCTTTTTACAGAATCAATTTCCTTAACTCCCAATTTAAAAAGTTAAAATAAAATGGCTTAAATAAATAATATAATTATAAAATTATGTCTATCTTTCTTACCCTCCTTTACTCGTTAACTCCTGTTTTGTTGGAGGGTAGTGAAACAAAATTTCATAAAATTTTTCTTTCCTTTGTTTGGCAATGTAAATAAGAGGAAAAATTTATTAAACTTTTCCCGCCCTTTCCTTCCAAGCCCTCTTCAAATTGGAAGAATTTGAGGGGATTCCTCTCCCTCTTTTCTTTTTTAACCAAACATAATATAAATTTTTTTCACTCTAAACTAGAAAAACATAATTATGAGTAAATCAAGTTTTAATGAGAGTTTAAATTTTGATTCTAGAAACAAATACCTTTCACTAAAATTAATATATGTTGATATTTGGATCGTCCATCATTGATATTTTACACAAGATAAAATATACAATATTTATTATATTTAATTATTGTTTATCATCTAAAATTCTTGAGTAAGCAATCTAGTATTGTGATAAAAACTATAAAGAGATCAATGCGATTAATTTTTCAAATTTTTAAACGTGATCACTCAGGCAAAAAAATGTGATCATCATTAGGAGAGAAATAAAAATAAAACCAAAATACAATAATTTAACGAAGAACTGCCTTTTTTTTTTTTTAACGGTATGAAGAAGTGGTTCACGGAATCGAGGGTGAAGCGGATTACATGGGAGCAGGTTTCCGGCGTTTTTTGTCGCGTACGAGGTGGATAATGGAGGTCACCCAAATCAAGGCTTGTTAGTGCTGTAATTAGGACATGCCTGCCACGTATACCCACGATGCGAGACATTATTCGCAAGCAATTTAGACAACACATTTCATAATGTTATGTCCTTGTTTCTTCTTGTGTTGCAAATTCCTTTTATCTCGTCATGTGCACATGCCTTCGTCTCTTTCATTACATTAAATAGTCTTACCATCTTGTTTTCTAGAAAGATCATTCAGTTGCTTAAGATTCACATTTAATTGAGCGGAAGGAGTTTGATGTCTTTTAATATTATATTTTTAAGATTCAGATTTAATTAAACTAGTACACTTATTGTTACCAATAGAGCAAAGGCCCCGTTGGTAAACAAATTAAATGGATTAAGAAATAAAAATAAAAATAACATGATCAAAATGAATAAGTGACTACATTCATGAAGGAGATAGGTAATTTGATTTATAGAGTTGAGAATCATGATTCATAAAATATGTTTTAAGGTGTAATAATTTTTACATTTATAATATATATTAATAACTTTATCATACTTATTATGAAAAAGAAAGGTGATGGAATATGAGATAATAGTTAATTAAGATAGTTATGATTTATTTAAGATATTAGAATTATCCATTATGAATATTTGAATAAAGATTTTATCCATTAAAATTAAAATTTATTATTTATTTTATTGTTATCTTAGATATTAATATTTTTAAAATTAAATTTATATTTAGAATTTAAAATTTAAATTTAAATTATTATTATTATTTTATTATTTTAGAGCTCTATACATAAAGCTAAGTGTTTTATTTATATTTAATTTTTTAATATTATTGAATAAGAGTTTTTAAAAGTTTCAGCTTTTTTTCTCTTTTTTCCTTCGCTCCTCCTTCTTTTATCTCTGTTTCTCTTTTTTTATCTTCCCTCTCCCCTTCCCCTTTTATATCAAAAAGTGATTTAATTTATTTTTATTTTTTTAATTTATTATATTTTTTTAATAATCAAACAAGATCTTAGTGTTTGTCAGAAGAGGGGAAAAGTTTTTGCTCCAATTGTGCTTCTATTATCTTTTTAATTTTTTAATCCAAACAAAATAGAAAAAATTATGCTAAAATCTTATAAAAAAAGTTATCACTGCAAAATTTATTAACAATTAAATTAAAATCATTGACAATGTATGGTCAATTGTTAATAAACTTTATAGTAATTAATTTTTTTGCATGAACTTATATGTAATTTTACTAACAAAATATCAAGTTTAAGTATCTGTTTTGTTTCACGTTGAGAGCCACTAAAATCACAGGATAGGATTTTGATACTTTTCAATATAAAATAATAAAACCAAATACGCTATGAGAACTCAAACATTGCATAAGAAAAAAATTGTGAATTTCTCACTTTTGTCCACAGCGATACTCAAATCTTGATTAGTTATATTATTAAACATTGAACAATTGTTAAAAAGAGTAACTAATAAATATTATTAAATAATGAAATAAAAATACTAATAAATCATTTAAGTAATTAGGTTGTCTTCCTAACTATTCCAAGTAGGCAAATACAATTAGTTTGAACTTAACATAACAAATTCAGGTTGCTATTGGCGGAAATACTCTTTTAATGTACTCTTACAACACGATAAGATGAGCATTTTCATATAGAATAATAAAATTCAGTTACTTTTATTTTGATTGTATTTACGTCAAAATGACAAAACTGACCTTACATCCCTTTGACGGGGTCGCTCAAAAGGGGGATCAAGTGGTCCCTTACGGTGCATCCTTTACTTCTTAGACGTTACCTAATCATCGTGTTATTCTCCACGCTTAACGTCATTTTCTACAACGGCTACTTATCACTATAAAATATCCTATATTAAGCTAAATATGTATATGTATTATATATATATATATATATATATATATGTAGATATTTATATTTTTATGTACACATATATAAAAAAATGTGAGTTGAAACGCCGGACAACTCATAACATGTGACTGCAATAAGTTGTTGGAATTTCAACACTTGTAACCTATTTGCAAAACAATCAAGATAATCATGGAAGTAACGTTGGGTTATGATTTTTCTATTCACTCGGTACAGAATTTTTTTTTTTTTAATATCTAATGACTTAGTTTTGTTCATATAAGTCTAACATATTATGCCTCCCATTATTTCATTACAATCAAAAATAGATTAAATATAGTGGTTATCGAATGAATGATTGATATAGTTGAATTAATTTATTCTGTAATTTTCATTCAAATAAGGACTAATCATTTATTTTTAATTGAATTAGCTGACATTAGCTGTTTTCATGGGCGTGAGACCACTCATCTTTTTGACTTATTTGTAAGCCAATTTCACTCTTTGAGCACTTATACATTTTGAAGCTCCTCTTATTGAGTAATGTGGGACTTAATCTTTCAACACACTAGCACAAAAATTATAACAAAAATTTCTTCAGCAAATACTCCTTTTAGTCCTATTTATAAAATGTTTTTAATTAAATCACCGAGATTAAGAAAAGTGGTTAAAATTAGTTAAGAATCTTAATTGTTTTTTTAAAAAAATCCATAGAAATAATCCCCCATTACTTTTAAATTTTAAAGTCAAGCAAGATCCAAATGATAGAATTATATATATGATTATCTTGAAATAACTTATCAATGCCTCATCAAATTTTATAAAATATCTTATATTAAGGACCAAATAAGACTTCAAAAAGTATTTTATATCAAGGATGGAAAGAAGTACTCCCTCTGTTTCTCTCTGTGTATGTGTGAGAGAAAAAATTATATCATATAATTTAATAAAATTGATTAACTATAATAATTATATTTAAAAATAAAAATAAACTAAAATGTCATGTGTCAATCAACATAACCATAAATTAATTATTTTTTATTAATATAAATTATGAAAGATGATTTAAAAAATATAAAATAAATATTTATTGAAATAGATAATTTTACTTATAAAAAATATAAGTTAAAAGTGATAATTTTTTTAATAATAAAAAATAAGTAATTGCAAGCACGTCTTTTACTGCTTGTTGAACCCTAGCTCTGACCTTAGAGAACAATCACTGTATGCTAGACGCATCTTTAAAGATGAATCAAATAAAATGAGCGTTGCTTGGAATAGATGCTTTGAACAATCATTGTACTTAGTTTTCATATATAAGTTTGTGTCTCCAACCTGAGGTTCCATGAAAGTGCTAAAGATTAGGAATGTTTCTTATATCATATTAAATTTTTTATATTAAATATATTCTTGACACCAAAATAGTTTCAGACATTTATTAAGACACATAACAAATTTTATATATTTTTAATTTATTTTTTAATTATTAGATATGTGACTTCTTTATCTCTCATAGCTCCATTAGATGGCATATCCATGAGGCATCCATCTGACTTTTTAGTCAAAACTATTTAATTTTTGACATCGCAAATTAATTTAAATTGATGTTGAACTGGGTTTTCTCTCTTATTACAAGGCTTAAACTTGAAATTTTACCTGAGGAGCATCAAAGCATTTTTCACAATTAATATAGCACAATTACAATTTATTTGCGTCAATTTGCCCCTTAACACTTGCCACACGTTATCATCCTAGCTAGCTATTTGCATATTCTAATATACAAGTAATTATTAACAAAGATTAATGTTAATGCATTGCTAGATTGCTTTGTGCTTTTTAAAATTTTGGCTGCAACAGTATGAATTAGAAAAGGAGATTAGGTAGGTTAATGTGTTTATTTAATTAAAAGAAGAAATTGTGTGCATATATCAGTAACTTCATTAACATATAATTTGTAAGCACGACTAGAGGCATCTTTAAAGATGAATCAAATAATGAGCCTTGCTTGGAATGGATGGTTTGAATCATTGTACTTAGTTTTCATGTACAAGTCTGTCTCTACAAACTGATGTTTCATGAAAGTGTCA